TGTCGAATATACTGATTATCGACTGCAGTATATTCGACAAAAAAAGTTGTCGAATATGTCTGTCGATTATAGTTTAATCGACAGAAAATCACTCATATTCGACAGAATCCGCTGTCGAATATACTGCTTTTTCCAGTAGTGCCTGCGGGTATGGGGACGAAGCTATTTTTGAACCTCCGCCAAAAATCCCCGTGGGGATCCTCGTACCCGCCATTGGAGGAGATGGGGATGGGGAAGGGGTCCCCGCCCCCGTGAGGACCCGTTGCCATCCTTAACTCCTGCCCTCCTTTAAACAGTAAAACGTAAAAAAAAAAAAAAAAGGAGTAAAATGATAAAGTGAAAGTCTTCCTCTTCTCGACTTCTCCACCTCAACATCTTCGTTTGCTGTTATGCTACGCCAATAGTATGGAAACATAAAAAAATAAAAAGAAATTTTCAAATAAACAACATCTAGCATACTCATTCTATTGATAAAAGAGTTTTTGCTTTCTTTTAAGATGAATTTTTATAACAAAATTTGGGTTAGATTTAGATATGAAAATCGTTTGGAATGGACCATAGAGATTCAATGTTGTGAAGCTTCTACTTGCTTCTGATATTTTAGTTTGAGAGTCTCCTGTTTTGCCATTAAATTATATTAAAACCAAAAATTTTAAATGGGTGAGATTTTAATACCAGAAGCCTTCTCTATTTAAAGATCATATTTTATAGTTTGAAACAATGTGTTCTCGTAAAAACACCTTTTCGTTAGCTTAATTGCTCACATGTCTCTTGTTGCTCAAATTTTGGATTTATGTTGGGTATAAAAATTTGGGAATTTTGAGTTGAGTTTTGTACTGTTTATGCAAAGATGATAATTTCTTGAGATGTGTTTTCAAAACCCAAATATCATGAGAAGTAAATCAATGAGTTCCGTGCTTTCAAACTTGTCGGTGCGTGATTGTTCCCTCTGCTCGAGCTTGTTGTTGCGTGATGCTTTCGCTCGAGGGCAACGTTGCTGATTGCACGATGGGTAACATGCCATCACGCAACAGTGAGCTCTAGGTTTGTGCCCGACAATGAAACCGAGTGCTGTACCAAACTGGTTTTTGCTGTTAACTTACCTCTCACATGAGAATATGAGAGGAATAGAGGGTGATGGAGAGAAGAGAAGAACGGAGGAAGATGGGATCTGATGGATGGATTTTGATCGAAGAGGAAGATAAATGTAAAGGGAGAAAAGTAGAGGGGGAACCGACCTAGGTTTTTCGATTGGGTTGTTT